AATGAAGAAATAAGATTTAATGATATCCTAAAACTGTAGAATTCGTAGTTCTTCAATGAGATTTGTCTGAATGAATCGGCTTATTAAAAAAAAAATATTACTGATCAATATAGATAAATGAATAGAAGATTTTGTAATTTTCAAGAAAAATACTTCGAATGAAAAAAATGTTTTTGTTTTCTATTAATCAGATATTAAATAAGTTAGAAGAAAAATCTGTGAAAAGTTCAATCCATTGATGATGAAAGTTATTTTTCTTAGAATTTTATAGTTAATAAAAGAAGAGAAACAAAATTACATAAGTTTGCTTTTATTTATATTTAAATAAATACAAGAAAATGAAATAATAAGATTGTTTAAAATTTTAATTTGATATCAATATATAATGTTTTTTGTAGATGATAATACATATAGATTGAAATAAAATAGAAATTAATGAGAATGATAACTCATAAGATGTTTGTTTAAAAACAAAAAAACAACAATGATTGATAATGAAAGAAAACAAAAAGAATTTCATCATTTTAAATTTAATCGAATAATAAAACAAAATTTTTTTTTTTGTTCTTACAATAAGAAGATTAGTCAAAATTTGATAAAACATGGCTATTATAAGAAATGTTACCGATAACATATAAGAATAGTGCACTACTGTCCATTTCAAAAGAAAATGTAGCTCACTATTTTTCGAATAACTTTTGATAAGAACAAGATAGAGAGTTAATTTTATAGTTCAACATTTTTTCCTTTGAATATTTTGATCATTTTTTGATAATAATCTCAATTTAAATTATGTCAAAATATAGCTCAAATCATCCTTTTTTTTTTCTAAAATAATCATATATTTCAGTATTTCTCAACCTTCTATTCTAAGTGGATTTTAAAAAACAATATGTGATGATTATCTAGAGAAAACAAGATGATTTGATCTACATTTTGACATAATTTGAGTTGAGATTATTGTCAAAAAATGATCAAAATATCCAAAGAAAAAAATGTTGATTCAAAAGTACCCGTAAAAAAAGTACGTTTCGTTTTAATGAGTTTTATACCAGTCGACATTGCTCTTCCAAATGATGAAAACCACATCTCTCTAACTTGTTTCTATCAAAAGTTATTTGAAAAATAGTGAAGTACCTTTCTTTTTTTTTCAAATTCAAAATAGAATATTAATATTAATATTCGAGTTATATCATTAGATTAACTATTATGAAATTTGATCTGAGACAGCTTTCTTTTTCTTTGATTCATTCGAACAAGCAGAATGTTAATCTTCTAACTAGGTTTGATGATTTTTTTAATGAATTGTAAAGTTGTTTTTCTTCATTATCAATATTTGATCAGAATTCTTATGATTATGAATAATTAATATAGAAATTTAGTAATATACAATGATTTACATAATGATATTTGATATAAAAATATTTTGATTTTATATTAATAGAAACTGTTGAAATAAACAAAAATAAAAGTTCAAGATTGATTAAACAAAAATATTGAACAATTCAGAATAGAAACCTTCTATAATATTGAGTAATAATAAGACATTATTAAGTACAAACTCAATGAAAATGACTTGACTTTTTACTTTCAATAAACTCTCAAGTTGTTTGAATAAAAAAAAAAATTATTTTTTTTTGTTTTTTTATTAAAGTTCAATTTTTCTATAATCATTTTCTTATCGACTTTGTAGTAAATTTTTGTGATTATTTAAAAGAATGTAATGTATATCGTTGAAAAAATCTATGAGATGAATTCTGTTCAATCTCATATGTTAAACTAATGTTTTTAATGTTTATTCATTCTTAGATAAGTAGTGTCAGAAAAAAACTTTCATCATCATCTTATCTTTTTATTCAGAGAAATTCTATTGATAAGATTGTTTTTTCTATTGTATTGCCATATAATAATAGAAGATTTCTTTGAGATAACGCTCAAAATATATTAAGATAAGTCATAAAGATAAAAGTTTATTTTTATACTCAAAAACAAAATGGTTAACATTATTTTAAAAAATAAAAAAATTTTTTTTTTTTCGGTTTTTTTATATTTTGTATTTCATGATATAGTTAACCATTTTATTGAAAATATTTACTAACTCATAGAGAATTTTATATTTGAGATTTTGTTGAAAAAACTATTGATCCATTATAAAACAATATTTTTTTAGCTTTAACATATGTTTGTAATTATAAATAATGATATTGAAAAATAAGATATGAAATAAATCTTAAGACATTATTTAATGTTTATGAATGAATATCAAAAACTAATTCAATCTTTTGAATTTTTTTTATGAAAAAATATCTATTTAATAATTGATTTGGAATAATTTGATTTTTCTTATGAATCATTAATTTTCAAACTAAAATTTATTTTCTATAAAATCTTGTTCTTATATTTCAACGGCTATAGATAGTGTTGTTATGAATCTAAAATGAAAGACTATACATTTTGAAAATAATTCTATACATTATTTTCTCGAATATTGTCGTGTTAGATTGATTGATATAAACATATTTTATTTCTAATGATATTTTTTATTTTAAATCTATTTTCTCATCATTATAAATCTTTCTTATTAACTAGAAAAATTACATATCAACAATCCTCATGAAATAAAAACATTTTTTCTTTTGAGCTATCCCATAGGATGAGATTATTTTTTTTTTTGTTTCATCTTATACGAAGTCTTATTACATACGAGTTGATAATTTTCTTAGCTGTCATAATAATTGTTGTTTTATTTTATGATATTCATCACATTTTGTGTTTTATAGAAAAACAAATTTTATTTGAAAAGTGATAAATCATGAAAAAAAATTAAATTATTCAAAATCAATTATTAAATAGATATTTTTTTCGTAAAAAAATTCAAATGATTGAATTAGTTTTTGATATTCATTCTTAAACATTAAATAATGTCTTAAGATTTATTTCATATCTTATTTTTCAATATCATTATTTATAATTACAAACATATGTTAAAGCTAAAAAAGTATTGTTTTATAATGGATCAATAGTTTTTTCAACAAAATCTCAAACATAAAATTCTCTATGAGTTAGTAAATATTTTCAATAAAATGGTTAACTATATCAAGAAATGTAAAATATAGAAAAAGAATATTTTAAAATTATTTTTATCACTTTAGCTTTGATATAAATCTAAAATTCTAATTGAATAATTTTCAATGTTGATAGATAATAGATTAGATAAAATATCTTTTAAATAGAAGATTTTTATTGAATTACTTATTTAAAAACACAATCGAGATTATATATATATATGTCTAATTTACTATAAATTTAAAATGAAAAGAATTTCATATTGACAATCTTTATTTGACAATCATTGAATTAATACATAATTCTCTGCATAACTTGTTTATCTTTATATACAGGTCGATTTTTAATATTTAAAAATGAATTAAAACATATCCAATCATTAACATTAAGTCAATTGAAACAACTTATTGATATAATTAAATTTTTATATGATTCTCATATTATTCATCGTGATATACGTCCACAAAATTTGATGTTAGATTATGGTGAACAACATTTAAAATTAATTGACTTTGGTTTCGCATTTAAATATGAAATGTTTGAAACGAAAAAAAAATTACCAATTGCGGGAGCAGTTACATATGCTAGTTATGAATTATTAACTGTTTATTCTGAATCAATTTCGAATGAACAAGATTCAGCATGTTATGATTATGAACGAACATTTGATTTAAAATGTGCATTAAATGTTATAATACATATGATTAATGAAAATGTTCAAGTTCAGGTGAATGCTATTGAACAATTACCACCTTCTCTTGAAAAAGTATCGAGATCGTTTGTATTGTGGAAAAATTTGGAACAGAAAAATCTAATTTATTCTAATTTATTATATTCGATAAACAATTTAAGTCAATTATCTTCTTTTGATGATTTCGAAAATCAATTAGACGAACTTTACTGTTTACGAACAAATATAAGCATATAGTTTATCAATTATATGTTCATGTTATTAGATAAAATCGTATAGATAGCTATTTTATTTTGTTCATTGTTATATCATTTCATTTGGATGTACATATAAAAATTCTAGCTCAAAGCAAAGAAAAAGGAAATTGTTCCATTTGTTAACAGGGCATTTTTTTTTGTTTTCAATCTAAAATATTTGATAATTTCTTCATGTTGTCTTCTATAGATTCATATGCTGAATATCAACAGGTTTGTGAAGAATTTTTTGACTATAGAAATCATTTTCCTAAAAATACTTTCTTTTGAAAGTTATGGATAAATTCAACTATGAACTATAATATTCGATATTCATATCGAGATGATTTCATATGTCTAATTATAAGAAAAAGTTGAGATATAATTCTAAATGAAACATAATTTCAAAAGAAATTTAAATTAAAAGAAGATATACAT